AGTAATTTTTGCCAATTCTTTGGAAGTACTCTAGTAATGTACGGATCATAAACGATTTGCCGTTGCCAGCGGAGCCGGTGATAAAGAAGTATGGGTAATGTGAGGTATCTCGTTTACCTAAGTAATTTGTTATTGTTTGGTAGCAGTGATATTGACTGGGACTTAGGTTTACTATTACATTTGTAGGTATTACGAAGGGTAGTATTCTGAGGGAGTTTAATTGTGTTTTAATAATGTTAACTATGTTATCGGTTAGTATAGGTTGTAATGAGGACACGATTGTTTCGATTATTGAATTATATTGATTTAGGGCATAAGTTGACTGATTTGAGATAAATTCTGAATTTTGGGTAATTATGGATCGATATAAGTCGGGAAATCGGAAGAAGAAGTGATCTCGGTATGTTTGGTAAGATCCAAGCATTTCTTGTTCGGATCTGCAAGGATAGTTTAGCAGAAGTTGCTGATAGAAATACGGCTCGCCATGTTCTGGTCTTAAAAATCGATAACGGACAAGTATTTTGTTGTTACGTTTAATGACGAAGTTTCCTAAGGTATCTTGATATAATGTTCTTTGAGTGTTAACTGGTCTAGTAGATTTGATTTCGTAAGTTTCGAAGTAAGTTTTGTAGGTTATATGATCAAATAGGGGGTCATTTGGACGAGCGAAGTATTTTTCTATCTTGTCAGACCAATAAGGATTGTCATCATTAGGGTCAATCATGTATAACGGTAATATAGCTTTGGATCGAGTAGATGGAGGATCGGTTGTTAGGAATTGAACTTGGATTGAAGAATTCGTAATGCGTTCGCCGAGTAACAAAAACATCAGTTCCATTGATCCCATTCGGCGAGCATGAATATATTCTCGATAACATAACTGTTCTTGTATATTAAATAGGTGAGTCGGCTCAGATTTGCTTATATATTTAGTTATGTATCGGGCAAGTCCTTTATTGGTGATATATTGGGCGTTTATATGAGCATTCCATATCATTAGAGTCGGGGCATGGTATGGAACTACCCATTGATCTTCAGGTGTTAAGCACCGATAGGTATATCTGTAATTGTTTGGATCATAATAGGTGTGTTCGGCGAAGGGACGAGGAAACCCTTTTCTACATTTAGAACCGGTTGGAGTTGGTCCGCCACATTTGGAATTACAAGTATGCATCTGTAATGAACGAACTTTTCGGTAGAGATCAGGCTCTAAGTTGGGATTTGGAAGAGTTGATCTAATAGTATTTAAATTGATCATTTCATTTATACTAGAAGTAGTCCAGTAAACGCCATGAAGGTGGGCTGCGCCACGATTCTGAAATTCAATCCTATCAAAGAAATGTTGGTATGTTCCCCATTCACTAATTTCAGGATCTTTCCAAACATATTTTTTAAGATTTTGTAACCTGTGGATAAAATGTAGAGTTGTGTGTAGCGGTCTGTTTGTTGGTAGTGGGTCATGATTGTCCGTGTTGATGAGAATATCACGAAGATGATTCCATGAACCTTCTGCCATTGATAGAGTTATAAATATAGTTGGTAATCCTAATTCACGTATCATTGTATTTAAATGTAGGGTTTTTTGTTGAAAATAGGTATCTTCCGTACGGATAAATGTGGGAATGGGCGTGGTATTAGTTTCGTTATAGCGCCAGCTATCAGTATAAGTGCTACGTTCAATAATTTCAATTGCAGTAGGTAAACGATGTGTTGAGTCAGCATTAGATTGGCGAACTAATCGTTGTGTGTTTTGGAAATTTCTAAGTTTTTCTAATTGAAGATATGCCCAGGCTGGCCAATAACGATGTAGACGGAATCGAGAATCTAAAGAAAGTAACCGATGTTTGATATATTTGCCGAAGGTTTCATGGCGATGTTGTGTATATCCTGATCGATCACGCGTTTCATGATAATAACCATGACCATCAGGGTATAAATCGGGGAAAAAGTAGTGGCTCAAGGTTAGGGTTGTTTAAAGAAATTGGAATTCTATCAGATCTGTTATTTGTCAAAAATCCTGCCATCAAGTGACGATAATGGGTGTCTTCATTGTGAATTTCGGCGGGAAAGTTTTGATGTGGAACTATAATATCACCTGGTCGTACGGGAGGTATATTATTATCATTAGGTAGATGAGTTGCTATAGGGTAAGAGGGATGTGTAGACGGATTGGTTGGAAATGAATTCGTGTATTCACGTAAATAGGGGTTATTTTCTTTGAGCCAGTTGGCTGCATTTATTAAAGAGTTATCAAGCCACGGTGGGTTTGAAACAGAGTCAGAAGGTTCTAGGAAAGCACCCAAGATTCCAGAATATAGACTCAAAGAGTGAAGATTTTGAGAATAGTTCATAGTACCAACTAAAGATCTGTATTCAGTAAAGGGATTTGCTCCAGGAGTACGACCTAGGGAGCAATGTAGGAAAATAGGAGATAAATATCTGCGTTTTTCTAACGGTACAAGACCTATTTCTGATGGAACACGAGAAAGATATGGAGGATAAGTTCTATTTGGATTCGATTTACATGAAGGACATATTGCGATTCTGTTTGGTGGTGGTCTTGGATTAGTCACTAATACAATATCCGGATATGCAGTAGTAAGCGGATAAGTAGTGTTAGGATTTTTAGGGATCCATAGTGATTTTTCCGGGTACATAAGCTTTGAACAAACAGAGCAGGGAATACATGGAAATTGGCATAAAATTTCGGTTTCAAATTTGTTGAGGATTTGATACATTTTTGATGATATAGTCCATGGCGAATGAGATGGGGATGATGTAGACGAAGTAGAATTGTATCCAGGATTTATTTCTTCAACTATAGGATGTGATGTAATGCCAGTATTGGTTAAGTCAATCGTTTGTTCATGTTCAAAACTATGGATTTCAAAAATTTGATGTGCATGAAATGGCATGATGTACAGGTAATAACGAAATGTATACGAATCGCGACGGATTGTAGGTGTTAAGGTAGTTATGTTTGAGTTATATTTTCGGTTCTGAAATACTATATCGAGTATGAATTTGAAAGGCGTTTATTTTTTAGAATTAGCGATGATTTACTAATAGTTTTTTTTAAAAAGCGAAACGAAAAGTCTTTTATATGTTTAAACATTACACGGAAGTTGCGGATTTGTAATTATTGTTGTATATTGAAAGTTTTTTTTTAATTTTTATTGTTCTCTTTTTAATTTATTGTGCTCAATTATAATTTGTGGTACTGTATTTATCGATTATTGTTTACGCGTTATAATATCATTATGCCGCACATTTGGCAAATGTTAGGCTAAGTAATAATTAATATCTAAAAAAGGAATATGCGTATATAAAGCGATAATATAAGGCAAAATAATCAAGGCTAAGTAATAACTAATAGCTAATTTTAGTTTAGGACATTAATGCGAGTTAAGTAATGAGAAGTACTAGAGGTGCAGTTAGAACTTCTTTAACTCGTTATAACTATTCTTGTAACAAATTTGGTAAGTACGTAGGCTAAGCAATGTTTAATATTCATATAAAGCGGTAGTATACTGCAAGATGATCAAGGCTAAGTAATAACTAATAGCTAATTTAAGTACATGCATATCTAGGATGTTAATACGAATCGAGTAATGGGAAGGTACACGGCAAAATAGTAGCTAAATTGGACACATGCATGTTTAAGGTAATAATACAGCAATACAAAGTAGGAGATATCGAAAAATGTAAAGTTGCGCCGAAATAAATGCCGGGTAACAATAGAGATAACTCTATACTAAAGCATATTAAGATGATACTAACATTAATTAAATCTATTTTATTCAAACTTTAATAAAGCAGTAATATTAAGCAGGAGATATTAAAAAGCATAAGCTGCGTCGAAATAAATGACGGGTATTAATAGAGATAACTCTATATCAACGCAAATTAAGATCATACTAACACTGACTAAAGTTATTTTATTTAAATCTTAACATTGGTAAGGTTTGGATTGGGACGTGGAACGATTTGGTTCGAATAATTAGGGACGGTGGATCTTGTTGTAGCTATATTGAGATAAGTTTTTTTCTATTAGTTGTTTTGTTTTGTTACTAATAATTTTCGGTAATTCTTTTGTTTTATTTGGATTATAGGGCAATATGCAGAAAGATTAATAACGTGTCATATCAAATTGAAATGGTTATAATGTAAATAATTAATGAGAAAACAATGGCCAAATAGAATACAAGTAGTAATATTATCGAATCTTAGTTATATTACGACTTAGAGATATAACCGAGGCAGAATTTTTAACAAATTTATAAAATCAATTCTGTTAAACGGTGGGGATATAACTTAGGTTGAGTTATAACTTGATTGTATTAAATAGGACATAAGGTTGTATATGCATTTATTATTCATTTATTTGTTATTTTTAGTAATTTATTGCATGTAGAATAATAAAAAATATCAAATTTTTATTAAATTTAAATAAAAATAAGATCTGTTAAGAATTTAACAAATAACAACAAAAAGTGATTCTGTTAATGATTTTTTTTTAAAAAAAATACATGAATTATTAACGATTTAAAGCGAAAAATATATTAAGACGTGGATGAAGCAGGAGTATCGTGATCTTGATTCTGCCTCAACGCATCTTTCGCAAGATCAGTGACTTTTGGACGTTCTTTTGATCTAAAGTATGGCTTCGTAGGCGTTGTCTTCTTTTTTCTACCGCTTTTCACTCTTGTAGCGATTGTTCTGGCTGTAGTTTCGGCATTCGATTCATCAGCTAGAGGTTTGTTTTGGGCTGTAGTTTCGGCACTTGATTCACTACGAGTTTCATCTTGGATTGCAGTTTCAGCGTCAGATTCATTAGTTGGGGTTTCATTTAGAAGCGCTGTTATAATTCTTGATTTATTGGTTGGAGGTTCATTCAGGAGCATAGGTTTAGTGTTTGATTTATTAGTTGAAGTTTCGTTTAACCAAGGAAGTTTGGCCGGGGTTTATAAATTAACACCTGAATTGGCGAAAAAAGAATCAAAAAAAAATCAAAATGTTAAAGTATAAAAGGGAAAGATAATAAAGAGAAAAAAAAAAAAATTGAGCCAATGTTAGCATCAATACAATGGCTACGTATATTACTAGAGCCAAGATTTAATGAAGTGCGCAAATAATAATAATAATAAATACCTGATTTTTGATATTCAGCAAAGTTTACAGTACGGATATAAACGACATAATTATCATCAATTATCATGAATTCCCCACTAACGAAGAGAAAAGATCCTATTTTGACAGAGGAGGAGGTTGGAGTAAGATGCTGGGCAGACACTAAATGGTAACATTCTAATTTCTGAATAACATGATCCTGGTCCATATAATCTTTTGTTTCTACAGTTAGAATAATATTATCAGATTCAATCTGAGGAAGTTCAATTACGGCGGCTGTCATATTTATGAGGATAGGAAATATCGGTAAATTGCTTGGGTCGATATTAAGGTGAACTACTTCGGACAACACGATCTAAAATGTAATGTAAGAATTTTTTTTTTTTATTTGAGATAATAAATAGAAATGCCTGTTACAAAGTCGCAGCTTTGCGTCTTGTTGGATTTAGTTTTAATTTTTGCAAAGATGCAAAATCTCAAAGTCTCAAGATCGAAAGTTTATGCTATGATTATTACTAAATTGAATAGCAAAATGATGATATATATGTATTACGACATTTATTATATCGTCGTTCTGTGATATTATGACATTTTTATAATTTACAACACATTTGACTTTTTAATTAAATATAAATTTTGGCGATAAGTTGCAGTCCTAATTACGTTATATTAAACGTTGGAATTTATATTTGCAGCGGGTATCTCTAATGATAAAATAATATATTAGAATTTACCTTCAGTACAGGATTTTTTTTTCCAGTTTCATCTGCATTCTCAATAATTCGAAATTTACCGGTAACTAAAATTACATCTTCAATCGAGAAGGAAGCCAAAGTAGATTTTTGAGCCTTGTCTTGCGAGTAAAAGCCTATTAAAAGAAGGTTTAACGCAGGGGCTTTATTCCTGGGACGCATTACTCCAGCGGCTTTAACGACACTAAGAGTCTTATTGGTAACGGATTCTTGTCGATCAGTGATATAACACACGGTTGTTACTGTTGATGGCATTTTTTTTTTAATTAAAAAAAAAAAAAGAAACCAAAGTTAGCTTAATTTTTTTTTTTTAAAAAAAAAAAAAAGAAAAACGAAGTTAAAGGTAGTTTATTTTTTTTTAAAAAAAAAAGCGAAGCTAAAAAGGTAGTTTAATATTTAACAATTAATAGGAATGATCATTTTATATATTAATTAATTATTAATTATTATTGTTATACTTCATTATTAATAGGATCCCAATTTGTTATTTATATCATCATATGTTAACCGAGATTGAAACCCGTATTTCTAATATACATTTTTTACTTGTTTACTTTTTGTAATGGTATTTATCAAGATTATCAAGATTCATTGTAAGATTTTTCGATTTCACTTCACATGTTTACTGCAAATTTCAACAACGAATATCGATATTTATGTCTAGATTTTTATTAATAAGATCACAATTTTTTTATTTATGTCATCATATGTTAACCGAGATCGAAACCCGTATTCTAATATATATTTTTAATTGTTTACTTTTTGTAATAGTATTTATCAAGATTCACTGTAAGATTTTTCGACTTTACTTCACATGTTCACTGCAAATTTCAACAACGAAATATCGATATTTATTTTTAGATTTTAAGTTCATGACAAGTATTGAAGTAATCAGTAATGAAGTAATCAGTAATCATCCGAGTTTGCAAGTTTTTCAGTCATATATACAATACATTATTGTAAAGATAGGGAAATGGTGTAATGAATATAGAAATGCAATTTATTATTATAGCCACGGTAGGTAGCAATATATTATATCTATCAGAGTGTTATATTTATATTACTCAAAAATAATAAGACACTTTTTCAAGTGATTGATTTCAATTAGAATATTGATACTTTCTAATTATTGCTTTATTATTATACGAATTATTATCTGAAAAAATTTGATTATTTATTTATATGCTTATTTTCATATAATTTATTCATTAATAACCTGTGGTCGTTTGATTATAAATCAGGAATCATATGAAATCGCATGAGTATGCACATGCAGCACGTTTTTGCTGGTGTGCAACATAATCATCAGGAATGGTAAACAATAAACATCAATTCATTCTTTCGTTTTTTTTTTTTAATTGTTTCGTTGAGAAGCCATCGATGCTATTGAGATTATCAAATAATCAAACCAACAAAAAATCCGAAACAAAAAAAAAGAAAAATGATAAAAGAGAAAAATGTAGATTAATAAACACGTAAAATCAGTTCAGATACGCAATTTTTTTTAAGACATTAGCAGGGCAAATATGAAATGACAGTTGTTCTTGAGGGAGTAGCTAGAAGCTAGAAGCTAGAAGCTAGAAGCCACTAGCTAGAAGCTAGAAGCTAGAAGCTAGAAGCTAGAAGCTAGAAGCTAGAAGCTAGAAGCTATAGTAACATATATAAAAAAGGCCGAATGCAAATTTCCTTTTAAGGGATTGTGAGGAAATTGTTTTGACTATCCTTTAACACAAACTAACAAAAATAGTCGCGGCACTAGTCATTCAGGGTAAAAAGTACTTACACTGCATGACCACATACGGCAAAATTATTACACCGCATGATCACTTATGGTAAAGGACATCGGTCAAAATTAAAAATGGGTAAAGAGATAGTGGACCTATACATGGGTGTCTAAAATAGGGATGATTTACGACAGACGGCATGGCGAAATTTTTTTAGTATTTTCGACACAGTGTTTCAAAATGTTAAGTGTCTAAATTGTTTTTGGTT